AAGCTACACAGTTTTACAAAATGAACATCAGGAAGATGAAATGATTTTAACAATTTGGTGGGATTGCTAGAGGAAGGAGGATAGAATGAATCAAAAAGTGAACTGAGAACAAATCCAGAATACTCAATGTACCTGTGTGATAAAGGAGTGGGAAAGGTAAAATGAATCTGGGGGAAAGAGCAGGAAGGAATAAGGATCAATGACGGTAGGGGAGACTCATCAAGAACCAACAGGTATATAACCCCTTATATAAGCATTTGAAGTTAAAAAAAAAAAAACAGACAAAGTTATAATTCAGGATTGTCTTCAAAAAGCTATTTAGAACCAGGCACCAGTGGCTCCCACCTGCAATCCTAGTTACTAAGGAGGCTGAGATCTGAGGACTGTGGTTGGAAGCTAGCCCAGGCTAGCTTCATGAGACTCTTACCTCCAATAAATCAGCATACAGCCAGAAGTGGCCCTGTGGCAAGTAGTAGAGTACTAGCCTTGAGAGAAAGGAGCTCAGGGATAGCACTCAGACCTAGAGTTCAAGCCCCATGACAGACAGACAAAAAAAACCAAAAAACAAACACCAAAAACTAGAAACAGAAAATTGTAGAACTACTACTGTGTATGTGTAACTGGTAGTTGTACTTTTAGCCAACTTATTAGAAAGACTAAAGTAGAGGGGAAAATAATTTGTAAATTATATAGCTCTAAGACGATATAACTAAAAGCAAAAATCACAAAAAAGAGGAACCTAAAAAAAACCCCACCAAAATCTGATTTAATTAAATGTACTAATGTTTAAAAAATAAAACAACAGTCCTAAAAGAAGAAATTTGTATTTTCTGTACAGATCCCCAATCTGACACGTGGTGACCACACATACTAAAAATATTCATAACAAGAAGTCAAGATTTAGCAAAGGTGTTAACACAGTGGGATCCTCATATTCTGATCCTCATGCCACCTATTCTGCTATGTATTTTTCCCACTCACTTCATGCTTCTAAGAATATTCCCCAAAGTTACTCCCTAAACATTTTTCATATACATTACACTCAGACTAGCCCAAATTTTGAGAAACTAAAAATCATATACAAGGAATTTAAAACAAGCAACACACAATGGTAGAATGGAGTTTTGTCTTTTTTTTTTTTTGGTGTCATACTGGAGCTTGAATGCAGGGCCTGTATACTATCCCTTAGCATTTTGCTCAGGGCTGGTGCTCTACCATCTGAGTCACAGCTCCACTTAAGGTTTTTTGATGATTAATTACAGTTTAAGAGTCTCACCTACTTTTCTGCCTAGGCTACAAATTGTGATCTTCAAAGTTCAGCCTCCTAAGTAGCTAGGACTATAGGCACTAAATTATCAGTATAACTTTTCTTAGCACATTCTTAAGAAAAATGTAAAATAACTTATTGTTTATACACACCTAGCCAAGCATGACCCATACCTACTACTCCCGCACTTTGGAGGCTGTGACAGAAGGATCTCAAGTATAGGCCATTTTGGATTACATGCAGTGACCCTGTCTCAAAAAAAAAAAAAAAGAAAAGAAAAGAAAAGAAAAAGGAGGGAAGGGAAAAGGAGTGGAAAAAAAGTAGCCTTGTCTTATTTTACATGGAACATGTGAGAACAATTTAAAATAACTTTTTGTTTTTCTCACACCTGCCTATTACATATTATTTCTAGTCACTTCATCCTTCTAAGAATTTCCTAAAAACAACTGTCCTAAAACTTTGCTTTATGTATACTGTTCTTAGAGTAGATCAAGTCATTTTGTTGTTGCTTTTGTTTTGAGACAATGGCTTACCATGCTGGCCTTGATTAGCACAGGCTGGCCTCAAACTCATAATACTACTGCCTCAGCCTCTTAATTGCTGGGATCACAGACAGGTGCTACCATGTGGCAAGATATACAGTACACTCAGATCATATCTTTCATCTTCCCACTAAATAGATTTATAAATACTACCTTTACAATACAAAATAGTCCAGTGTTGGTGGCTCACACCTATAATCCTAGATACAAAGAAGGCTGAGATCTAAGAACTGCAATTCAAAATTAGCTCAGACAGTAAGTATAGAAATTAGCTGGAAGACATGGTATGGCTCAAGTAGTAGAATGGCAGCCTTGAAGGAAAAAAATACAGCAATAACTTGAGGCTCTGAGTTCAAGCCCAGGTACTGGTGCACATGCATACACCTATGCTAGAATGTGTATACAAACACACAAAGGAAATACAAAATAATAAAATACAATGAGTTTATCTGAATTTGATAAGCAAAATAACTCAAAGCATATGATCTGTATTCTCAAAGACCTATAAACACTCAACATATACTTAGAAGAAAACAACCTGTTTTAAGTCCAAATTTCAGAGACATTATATTCAGAACAACACCAGAAAAATATGATAATAAAATACCTAGGAAAATTTAAAACTTACATCATAACTTAAAATCTTAAAGTATATTCTCTATAGATCAATGGTAAACCCAAAGAAAACAATTAAACTATTAAGATTTTAGAAATTACCTTTTACTCAAAGCTTGGAAAGTTGGGCATTGGTGGCTCATGCCTAGTTACTCAGGAGCCTCAGATCTGAGGATCACGGTTCAAAGCCAGCCTGGGCAGGAAAGTCTGTGAGACTCTTATCTCCAAGAAACCACCAGAAAACAGGAAGTAGCACTATGGCTCAACTGGTAGAGCACTCACCTTGAGCTGAAGAGCTGAGGGGCAGTGCCCAAGCCCAGAGTTCAAGCCCCACAGCCGACAAAAAAAAAAAAAAAAAGAGCTTGGAAATATTCTATATATGAGGAATTTGATTTATCCACTAAAGAACAAAAACAAAAAGATGTGTCCTAAAAACCACTTAGAAAAACCTAAGACACCAAAGAAAGAAAAGAGAGGAGAATTTCACAAAACATGAAAAATAAATCAATACAAATGAGAAAACCAAACAATATAACCGGATACTAAAGAAATCCCAATTTAAACAATAAGACTCCCATTAATAGCTACAAAAGGCAAAGTATAAAACACAAGGCTGGTGAGGGTAAGGACCTCAGGTCCACTTGAGTACATGACCAGTACAACACCATAGAAGGAGTGGGATTTTAAAATTCACATTATTTGATTCAATGGCAAAATATTATTAATACACAAATATTTCAAATCCGGCATAGCTTAAAATACAATCATTAGGGCTGGGAAGGTGGCTCAGTGGTAGAGCGCTTGCCTTGCATGCCTGAGGCCCTGGGTTCGATTCCTCAGCACCACATAAGCAAAAAGAAAAAATCTGTGGCTTAAGTGGTAGAGTGCTAGCCTTGAGCTGAAGAGCTGAGGGACAGTGCCCAGGCCCAGAGTTCAGGCCCTACGACCGGACCCCCCCCCCCAAAAAAAATACAATCATCTAAAAACATGATTTAGTAAAAATATTACTAATAAAAATGTTTACAAAAACTATTACTGGTCTGAGAATGTAGCTCAGTGGTAAAGTGCTTGCCTAGCATTTGCAAAGCAGCTGTTTTGATCTATACCACCATAAAAAGCGGTGGAAGAATGATTTCTAAGTTTAGGTGTAAAAGTAATTTACACATACTTCAAGGGTTATATGTCAGTAAACTAAATTTATCTATAAAAATTTGATAAAAGGGGATATAACAGGAAATCAAAATTGTTATCACTAAGAAATGTTACTATGTGTTACTTTAGCCTCTAAATTTTTTCAAAATTTTATTATTCGCTGTAGTAGGCATACTTCTCTATCCCCAGTGGTTAACTAGTAAACTGTTTAACAACTGCTTAGAGAATAGAATCATCCGTTAACTTCCATGGTGTATATATATTCCTGCTATGGCTAATTACAAGATACCAATGGTTTCAGCAACTGGCTAACAAAATTCCTGAAATTTTAGCAAAGAGTTCTTGCAATCCAGTCTGAGCTGTTCAAGCCCAGGGTAGCTCCAGTTACACCAAATTCCAAAATAAACAAGATAAACTAATAATGATGATAGTTATGACATGACTTTTTTTTGTTGTTGTTGTTGGTTGTGGTGCTTGAACTCTGGGCCTGGGCGCTATCCCTCAGCTCGTCAGCTCAAGGTGAGCATTCTACCACTTGAGCCACAGCACCACTTCTGGTTTTCTGGTGATTAACTAGAGATAAAAGTCTCACGGACTTTCCTGCCCAAGACTGGCTTTGAACTGCGATCCTTAGATCTCAGGCTCCAAGTAGCTAGGATTACAGGCATGAGCCAATGACATAATTTTTAATCAAGAAAACAGTCTTACTACATGAGGTAAAAAAAAAAAAGAAAAGTAACCATAGACATAAAAAATGAAAAGTAACTATAGACATGCAAATACAGTACACTCAGTTTACAGATTTACTAGAGATACCAAAAATTCTGCACAGTCAACTACTATGTACTAAAGAGGAAAAATTTTAAGTAGACATCTTCTAACAGTAATTTATTAATTACATTTATTAATCCATTTATCCATAAAATATAAAGAGACCCATTTGTGCCTCCTAGTCCAGGCTAGGCAATACAGCTGTGAGTAAAATGCAGTCCCTGCTCTCATGGAGCTTACATTCTGTTAAGTGGTATTCCACAATCTTTTTCCATGAACAACTGGTATTAAATTCATACAAACTTTAATATTAAAATAAGCTAATCTAATATGAATGAGAAGCAAGAGTCCTACTTATTATTAGTTTTTAGAGAAAGTAGACATATGGGAAAGGAAAACTACATTCATAGAAAAGAGGAGGATATTAAAAAAAAAAAGGGCAGAAAAATTGAAAGCCTAGGCCCACCACCTCCGAACAGGCATGCATACCTTTTCATTTCTACCTCCTGGTAGAAGCTGGTACAAAAATGAACTTTACTAAATTACATGAGACATTTACATTTGCCTTAAATTCCAAACAGGTTCCTGCTAATAAGATAAATCAAGTTTGCGATTAAACGATTAGTGACCACCACCTTAATATAGTCTCTTACTTTTGCAGGAGAACGTTGTTTCCGCTTCTTCTTTTTCTGTAAGTCTACTGGCTCTCTGATTTTTTTGTCTCTCATCAGTTGCTCAGATACATCAGTAAAAGTAATTTCCTGTTTTACACTTATCTGTTTAAAAACAAAAAGCTGATTTTAGAAATGCATAAAAAGTCCATTGTGACCAAAAGCCATTGTATGTTTAATCCTTGTCCAAGCCTACATGGAAGTGGAAGTGCTCCACAGTGCCTATCTGTGTGTGTGTGTGTGTGTGTGTGTGTGCGCATGCACACGTGCATGCAGGTATATCAACTAAGTAAGAGACCACATTAATAGGCAGTTGAGAAATAAAAATCGTGAGCATATAAACTAAGGGAGAATAAGATTTGTTGTTTTAATTCTACCTTAAAAACAGATTGAAGGTGTACTGAGGAAAGATGATTACAAGGTCTAGTGGAAGGCTGAAAATGGCCATGCATACCTGTAATCCAAACTATTTAGGAGTCAGAGAAAGATAAATCTTGGTTTGAGGCCAGCCTGGGCAAAAAGTCAACAACACTCTATCTCAAAAACAAACTAGTGAGCATAAAGGCATGGGCCTGTTATCCCAACTAAGAGGAAAGCACAATGGCTGGATGCAGTGGTAACATGGGAATACAGACCAGGCCAGCATGATGTTAAAGCATCATCACCACTAAAGGGGATGGAGATATATGACTCAAGGGGCAGGTAGAACATCTGCCTAGCAAATGTGAGGTCCTAAATTCAATCCTCAAAACTGCCAAAAGAACAACATAAGCTAGAACGGCAGTTCATGCCTGTTACCCCAGGTCTAAGGAGCTGGAGGTAAGGAGATTTGACTCCAATTCTAGCAGTCAAAAGCCTAACAAAAACAAAAACAAAAAAAAACAAACATAAAGCAAAAACACTGGAAGGGTGGCTCAAACAGTAGAACAAAAGACTCTGAGTTCAATCCCCAGTATCAACCCCACCTTTGCCAAAGAAAATTTGGACATTGTAATGCACACCTGTAAATCCAAACTATTCAGGAGGCCAAAGCAGAAGAAATTTCATTTCAGTGCCAAACTAGACAAACGTTAGTGAGTCTTTATCTCAAATGTAAGTCAAGCATAGAATTCAAACTCCAGTGGGGTGGGAATGGGGAACCACTAGTAGAAAACAGTAGAAAAGCAAACACTGTAGCATCAATTTCATTGTTATTCTTAAGGAGCTCATGCTGAGGTTATAAGTACAAAAAGATGAAGTTCCCAAAGTCAATATAAAGCTGAGGGACAAATGGGATATTCAGATATGTCAGTGTGTTTTCTTTCATATCAAGAAAACAGAGCTGGGAGCTGGTGGCTCACGTCTGTAATCCTAACTATTTAGGAGACAGAGATCTGAGGATTGCAGTTTAAAACTACCCTGGGCACAAAAGTCCATGAGACTTTTTTGTTTTTGTTTTTTGTTTTTGCTGGTTGCAGGGCTTGAACTCAGGAGCTGGGTGCTGTCCCTGAGCCTCTTTGTGCTCCAGGCTAGCACTACACCACTTGAGCCACAGAGCCACTTCCAGTTTTAGAGTGGTTATTTGGAGATTAAGAGTCTCACCAGGACTTTTCTCCCAGGTGGCTTTGAACTGTGATCCTCAGATCTCAGCCTCTTGAGTAGACTAGCACTGGCTCATGAAACTCTTATTTCCACTAACTACCAAAAAAGCCAGAAGTGGGGCTGTAGCTCAAGTGCATTAGGCTTAAGCAAAAGAAGCTCAGGGACAGAGCCTGGGCCCTGAGTTCAAGCTGTAGGACTGGCATAAGAGGAGAAGGGGGGAGAGGAGAGAGGGGGAGGAAAGGGGAGAGAGGAGAAGAAGAAAGAAAGAAAGGAAAGAAGGGAAGGGAGAGGGGAGAGGGGAGCAGAAGGGAGGAGAGAGGAGAGGGGAGAGGAAAGAGAGAAGGAAGGAGAGGGGAGAAGGGAGCGGGAAGAGAGAAGGGAGGAGAGGGGAGGAGAGAGGGAAGAGAGGGGGAAGGAAGGGAAAGAAAGAGAGGGGGGAAGGGAAGGGAAAGAGAGAGGGGGAGAGAAGGGAAAGAAAGAGAGAAGAGGAGGAAGAGAAGGAAAGGAAAGAGAGAGGGGGAGGGGACAGGGGAGCAGAGGGGAAGAGGAGAGGGAAGAAGGGAGAGGGAAGGAGGGAAGAGAGGAAAGAGGAGGAGGGGAGGGAAGAGGGGAAAGGAAACAGCACAAAATTCTAAAGGAAGGTAAGAAAATAGCTCACAATTCTAAAAGATCTAATCAAAAGACTAACAATGAAAACTTACTTTTATGCTCAATGTTCTTCATAAAAAATAGTACTCAATATTTCCCTAGCCTTGACAACTAACGATGACAAAACTGAATGAGTTTTTTTTTTTTTTTCAATCACTAATTTGTACAAGACAAAATGCTTATAATAGAGAAATATTCCAGGAGATAGGAAAATTTCAACATTGCTATCCCCATCTTTAGCTCTCAGGTCTTCAGAGTTGCTTGTCTTCACAGAAACATACCAGAGTTCTAAGGTGACTAACAATACAGTCAAATTTCATCAGATTTGCTGATGCTCAGTCACCCCCCTTCACTGTTACATTTTCAATTTATCCTTGAAATGAAAACATACAATTATCTTAAAACATGCAAGTCAACAGACTATGAAATATGGTAAAACTTGTTAAGAATCATCAGTAAGCAGAATGTGCTAATGACTAAATTTCTGAAAACACAATAAAAATATGGTGTAGAAGATTATGAGCATTTTACAGAGGTGTAAGACAACTGTGTAGAAAGGGTTCATGATCAAAATGCTTAAACCTATGTCAGAGATTTCTGACTGATAAAATGAAAAGGCAGTTTTCATGAATTCCTGAAATAGGAGCACTGTGATAATCACAAGTCAAGAAGGTTTGAAAAATGAAAACAACTTATATGTTTTTTTGCCTACTGACTTACAGAACAATGACCATTCTAACAGTTTATTTTGGCATCAACTATTTAGAGCAAAACACAGAATGGTAAAATGACTACCACCATGGCTTTAGGAAACAAGTGTCTTTACCACCAGAGCACTGACGTTTACCAAATTACAACTAGGGAGGCTGAGTATAAGACAAAGGATAAAGAGACTTGAAGCATTGTGGAACTGCTCTGTCCTATTCTGTACATGCTCCATAGACAAATCCAAATATTTCTGCCAACTTATAAATTACAAAGATCTGTGGAAATATAGCATACAACAAATAGAAACAGAAGTTCTTTTCACAAGTGTCAGGTACAGTGTAAAACAGATTCATAAATAAACCCTGCAATTAGCAGCTACTGACAAACCAAAGAATTACATATGTGAACGGTTTTAAAGAAAGGCTAATACAAACAGCTGATTCTTTGTTACTTCCACATATATGGGAGCTGATAATATTAATACTATCATTTTCTAATATAAGGAATACTTTTAATATGATAAAACCATGAACCTAAACCTACAAGTTTCAGTGAGAGAAAGCATAGTGATTGTCAATAGGCACATAGTAATTTACACTTTTAATAATCTCCTCCCTACATAACCTCTAAGCATACCCTAAAAAGTGGATGGCCCAGCTTAAAGTACTCAGAAAAATGCAGGTAAATTCAAAAACAAGAAATTATAAATATGACAATGAGGAGACAGTTACAAAGAGTTGTACAGAAAAAGGCAAAAACTTAAGCCTTCCTTCACCCAAAGAAGACTACAAGTAGACATCTATAAAAACTACCATCACAGAAAATCTTTAAGTACAGCAGAAATACATCTTACTCTTACCTTGAGAACTCTAGCAGGGCACTGGTGGCTCATGTCTATAATCCTAACTACTCAAAGAAACTGAAATCTGAGGATCACACTTTGAAGCCAGCCTGGGCAGAAAACTCCTTGAGTCTCTCTTTCCAATTAACCAGCAAAAATGTTAGACTGAAGATATGGCTCAAGTTGTAGAGCATCAGCTATAAGAGCAGAAGCCAAGCAAGAGTGCAAGACCCTGAGGCTCAAGACCCAATAATAGCACATACGAAAAAAGTTCAAAGTATAAAAAATATGTGAGATTTAAAAACAAAACAAAACAAAAAACTGTTTCCTCCTTGTCATTTAAGTTTAACCATTTCATCCAGTCCCATGAGCATCCTCAGGCCCACTTGAAAGTCTCAATTTCAAAGTTCTTCTCTCTCATTATCCACAAATAGCATCACTATCACCAGACCTATCCTCCTTTCATTAGAAATCCAAGAATTGCCAGACACTGGTGGCTCACTCCTGTAATCCTAGCTACTCAAGAAGCTGAGATCTGAGGATCACGGTTCAAAGTCAGCCTGGACAAGAAAGTCTATGGACTTTTATCTCTACTTAACACCAGAAAACTGTAAATGGTGCAATGGCTCAAAGTGGTAGAGCACTAGCGTTGAGCAAAAAGAGCTCAGGGACAGTGCCCAGGCCCTGGGTTCAAGCCCCAGAACTGACCAAAAACAACAACAACAAAACGCCGGTGGCTCACGTCTGTAATCCTAGCTACTAAGGAGGCTGAGATCTGAGGATCACTGTTCAAAGCCAGCCCAGGCAGGAAAGTCTGTGAAACTCTTATCTCCAATAAACCACCAGAAAACCGGAAGTGGCATTGTAGCTCAAGTGGTAGAGCACTAGCCTTGAGCTGAAGAGCTGAGGGACAGCGCCCAGGCCCAGAGTTTAAGTCCCACCACCAACAAAAATAACAACAAAAACAACAACAACAACAACAAAAACCTTTTCAAGTGCAAAAGACTCCTAAATTACCTTGATAATCTCTTAGATGTCAAATTTCCTGTTTAAATTACTTCCTTGGTATACTTACTTTTTTTTTTTTGGGTCCAGTCGCGGGGCCTGAACTCTGGGCCTGGGCGCTGTCCCTCAGCTCTTCAGCTCAAGGCTAGCGCTCTACCACTTGAGCCACAGCGCCACTTCCGGCTTTTTTCTTTTTGCTTATGTGGTGCTGGGGAATCGAATCCAGGGTCTCAGGCATGCAAGGCAAGTGCTCTACCACTGAGCCACCTTCCCAGCCCCTATACTTACTTTCTTTACACACTCTTTCCCTCATGAATATACA